ATAATAATAATAATAATAATAATAATAATAATAATAATAATAATAATAATAATAATAATAATAATAATAATAGGGTATCAGCAGAAAGCCTGAGTATTGAAACTCCTGTACGGTTGGCGAAAGCAATTAATTAAATTACGTGAGCAATGTTATTTGCTTACAAGAAATATAATGGGCAAGGAGGAGGTTCTAGTCTGACCAGTTATAAGTAGTCCTCAATTTATGACCACAATTGGGGCTGGAACCTCTGTCTCTAAATGATGCTGTTAAGCGAATCACAGATCATTAAGAGATTCCGGCTTCATCTCTTGATACCATGATAGTTCCAAGTGGGAGCACCAGCCAAAGGTCACCTTTTTCAGTGCCCTTATAATGGTCATTGAACAAATGGTCATAAGTGGAAGTCTACCTGTAATTCTAAATTGGTGGTCTTGGCAAGATCGTGACAGTTTCATGAAGATTGTAACAGTTTCATGAATCTGTCCCCAGGTTTTACTTCAGTAACTTCAATACTTCACATATTTGTAATTTTCTAATGAGTTCTGTGCAGAGTTAACTTCACTTTTGACAGCTTTTGCAATCTTAGTTTTGTTTTGCCTGAAATTAGGAAAATGTCATCCTTCACAATAATTTTGCAGGTATTTGGCATCCTTACCATCCCATATCTGGAAAAATGACCACGTCAAGAAATTTTTCAGCACTTCATGTCACTCCCCACAATATCAAAGTTCAAGTGAGTTTAAAGACCAAACGCCACCTCAACCCTCTCCCAAAATATATGTGTATAATAACTCTCTAAATACTGTGATATCCTTGTTTTTAGGTCCCAGCAATTCTTCCCTTTACAAAGTGGGTACGATGCTGGGTGCTTCTGGAAGGTGAGATGAATTTAGGGAGCGGGTAGAATACAGAAAAACGGAAAAGTAGTTCCACTTGCTGTGTATTTAAGGGAAATGGCTTTGGCTAATTCCCAGATGATTTTTTGTGAATTACACACTTTGTATTCATACGAGACCTTCCTACTGCTCACTGTCAACTTATAAAACATGTTCTATACACGTTTTATAGTTGCCAGCAGAAAGAAAGGGTGGGGGGAGTTTCAAAGAGCAGGCAGCAGTGTGGAATCAAAAGTACATTCCATTCATATTTTCCTCAGAGACCGATTAGATGACTGAAGCTTCTGCCCTGCAAAAGTCTAATTGGAGAGCATGATTGATGACTCTTGGCTATGGACGTGTTTCATTGGAGAATATGAATTATGATACACCCAGAGGGGTGGGGGGAAAAGCAGGGTCAGGGTGACAGCGAACTATGTGTCTCAGAGTCAGCTACACCCAGGTCATGCCGACATGTTGACTTCTTGGGAGGTTGGCTCGAGACTCAGGATTTAATTGGGGCCAGAATCCTGACAGACCTGACGCTCACCTTACATCTCTGAGGCATTTTTGTTTTTGCTGGCTTTTATTCCACTTTCCAGCAAAAGCGAGCAATGGGTTCGCTTTAACAACCGCAGCGTTCACTTTATGGCTATTGCAAAAAGGTCATAAAATCAGGTTCGGTCACGTGGCCCGCTTATGACCGTCGTGGCTCATGGCTGTAGTTGTGGGGGCTCAATTACGATCATAACTCGTGGACTATCTGTGGTTCCATTGCTTCTTCGGGGACAATTCCTTCCTACCTGGCTTTCCTCCTCTCTTACAGGCCCGTCTGTGGGGTTGCAGGTGTCCAGGCCGCCCAGAATAGCCTTCAGCATCACCTGCCCCATCCGTCCGCAGCAGCCGTCGCCCTCTCCCACTGCTCTCATTCAGGCGGGGCCGGACCCACGTTAACCTGTAGCCGCGGCCAGATGGAAAACCCTTCCCCTGTTTTGATGGCTCCAAGTCCGCAAAACCCTCAGGCCCAGGAGCAGAATGGGATTTTAGACTGGCTGCGAAAACTGCGCTTGCACAAATACTACCCGGTTTTTAAGCAGCTGACGATGGAGAAGGTATGATGCAGGCCTCACCAGAAGAATAGAGAGTGGGTTTTTTTTTTCTGCTTCTGCTTTTCCCCTTCCCTTTCCTGCCCTTCCTTTCCCAACTCAGTTTAACAATTCACAAATTGTATATCTGGCGAGCAGAATCTTCCGGTACTCTGGGAAAGAGCTGGGCCCCGGTGTAGGCTTTAGTGAGAGGAATATGCCACTTTTAAAATGACTTTCGTAGCACTTCTTTGCAGATGTTTGTAAACATACAACCATCTTATTCTGGTTTAAAAAACGATGCTAGGCTGCCCTCTGGTGGAGTTGAATTATGTCACTTAAACCCAGAGCGCTTCTAACGGGCGTCTTCTAGATCTAGAAGATGTTTAATCCAAGTATGTTGGTGTACCTTTAGCTATAAATTGAATTTAGTGCAAGGCTGAATACTTGAATACTTTCTCTCTCTCTTATTGGAATATATCCCAGTTCATTATGCCTGCTGTAATATCCTCAATTTTGACAAGTGATTTTTATGTGGAGAAAACATGTTGATTACTTGTCTTTCTCCACAAGTTCTTGAGCCTCACCGAAGAAGATCTTAATAAATTTGAAACACTCACCATGGGAGCAAAGAAGAAACTCAAGACCCAGCTGGAATTGGAAAAGTAAGTATCGGCTGCAGAAACACAAAGCAGTTCCCCCCTTCAGTACTAGATTTGTAACTAGTGCTAAAGAGATTTGGTTTTTTTAAGACATTCCCAACAACTTAGGAATGTACTGTATGTTCTTAAAAAAAATTGGGACATATTTGACCTTGGATTGGGGGGGAGGGGGTTGTTCAATTTCTGTTCCAGAACATTTTGTGGCCACTACAGGTAGTCTTCAACATACAAAGGCAGCGCTGTCACTAAGCAACACAGTTGTAAAGTATTTGTCGATGATGATGCTGGTCGTCCGGCTGCCATCGTCCAGTGAGGACATCATGTGACCGCAACGTCCGACTTTTGCCAGCTTCCCCATTGGCTTAGTGGGAAGCCAGCGGGGAACACTGGCTATCGGGGTCATGTGACTGCAGTGTGGCCCGTAATAGTGAGCCAGGCACCTGGGTTGGGAGTCATGTGACGGCGGGAATGGGGTAATGGCTAGAACTGCCAGGAGCCGTCAGAAGTTCTTTTTGTTCAGGCTCATTGCAACTCTGAACCGCCCTCTGATGGATCTGTGCCTGTACTAGCTCTGAACGATCTCACAGGAAAAGCACCTTTTCCTTGGTGTTGGGAAAGGGGTGACCCATGGATACGTGTCTGGAAAATTGCACTCTGGCTAGAAGACACGACGATCGTATTCAACTGTTTCCTCAACCTTTTCTTAACGGCAGAGAAAAGTCAGAGAAGCGGACCATGAACCCAGCCCCCTCCCCATCCGTCAGCTCTGGGGTGGCCAGAGTTCCTCCCACCACTCACATCAACCCCATACAGAACATTCGTGGGAACCATGCCACAGGTAAAGGAGTCCCCCCTGTGTCAGGTGCGTCTCTCCCATTAATGCTGTCTGGAGCCTTTTCTCACCTGCCTCTTTTTTTTTGGGGGGGGGGGGGAGGGCATAAAGCCAGGACCGAGGGATCCCGTTTTCCGGGATCTTGTTTTCTTTTACTCCTTTGCTCAAATCTGTGACTTCCAAGGTTATGCCTCCCTTTAGGAAGCGGTTCGCTTCATTGCAGCCCTCGCCTTCTCGTTTCTGATGAGGGATTTCTGCTTCTCTCCCCCAAGAGCTGCACGTGGACGTGGATCAGGCGGTCTCCACCATGCCCCCCCGTGAAGGCAGTTCCTCGGAGTCCTCCAGCTCGTCCTCCAGCCCCATGGGCATGCAGCCCCGGGAAGAAAGCTCGGACAGCGCCGAGGAGAATGAGAGGCGTAAGGGTGCTCCCTTTCATTCCGTGGCAGCCCCTGGGCCTCCCTCGGTCGGTGTGCTGCAGCTGATCCCGTTTGCCTTGCAGGTGTGGAGATCCACCCGGAGCCCCCGGAGAAGGAGAAGCCGGTCATGATCCTGAATCACTTCGGCTCCAGCTCGGCCCGGCCCACCGCTCAGGTTTTGCCCGTACAGAACGAGGCGGGGTCTAGTCCGACGGCTCACCACCCCTTGCCAGGACAGATGACGGCCGCTCCGATTCGAATATTAAACTCTATGCACAAACCCGAGCGTGGAAATGCCGACCTGAAGCTCCTTTCTTCCCCTATGCACTCGCTTTTACCTTTAGAGGACAGGACAAAGTTCTCAGGCGGGCCCACTCAGAACAGCGTCAAGATGGAGAAGAGCTTTGGAAACGCCCTGGCGGATCGCATTCCGGCGCCTCCGCATCAGCCCCTCCAGGTGCTCTCGGCGGTCCCCGAAAACGGCCCCTCCGCGCCTTCCATTCATTTCGGGCCCCGATCCAAATTGGTCCACGGGCCCACACTGGACCGAATGGTGAAACCGTCCCAGCCCCCGGGCATCCTGGCGGAAACCAGCACCACGGCCCCCGTCACCTCGAGCACGGTCTTCCACATGGCACGCCCCCCCATCAAGCTGCTGGTCTCCTCCTCCGTGCCCACCGATGCCGCCCTGGCGGGGCAGCCGTCCTGCTCCAACAGTATGCAATTCAGCGTCTCCCCAGCAATAATCAGCCCTCGGACGGCTCTGTACACCGCCAACACCAAAGTGGCCTTTTCCGCCATGAGCGGCATGCCGGTGGCCCCCATGCCCAGCAGCACCTTCTGCGCAAACAGCAACCCTGCCGCGTCTTCCAGCAGCCACCTGGCCACCTCCTTCGCCAACGTGGGCAGCCTGCCCAGCTGCCCCCCTCCCAGCTCCAGCCCCACCCTGTCCTCGGCTGCAGAGAACAGCTTCTACGGCGGGGGAGGCTCCACAGGGAACATGCCTGTCCCCAACCCGAGCAACCACCATCACCACCACCACCACCAGCAGCAGCAGCATCAGCAGCAGACGCCCGGCTGCATGGTCTGCAGTTCCTGCGGCTGCAGTGGGAACTGTGGCTCCAGCGGCATGACTGTGAGCTACACGAACTACTTCCAGCACCCCTTTTCAGGGCCGTCCATGTTTACGTTCCCCTTCCTGCCCTTCAGTCCTCTGTGCAGCAACGGCTACGTCAACCCCCAGCAGTACAGCAGCAGCTCGGCCTTCCCCATGGTCCACTCTCCATATGGTGGCGGCCCCACGCCGGACTCCCTCATGAGCGGACAGTCCACCTTTGCGGTGCCCCCCATGCAAAGCTTCATGGCCGGCACCGCAGGGGTGTACCAGGCCCAGGGGATGGTGAACAACAGTGGGAGCTCAGGACACAAGAAGCCCGGGAACCTCTCCTGCTACAACTGTGGAGCCAGTGGCCACCGAGCTCAAGACTGCAAGCAGCCACCGATGGATTTCAATCGACAAGGTGAGGAAGGGGGAAGGGGGCTTGTCCGAGGTGGATCGCCTCCCCCCAAAGGCAGTCGGGGACTGTGGTTCTGGGCACCGGGAGGGACAAAGAACCCTGTTGAAAATGCAAGTGTGGATTTGCCCTCCTTTGCCAGGTTTGACCCTGTCCCCGAATGGATCTCGTAGAAGCACTGATCTGTGGTTGTGAAGGACACAGCCTGGGGACCGCAGAAGGCCTGGGTGCAAGTGCCCCCCCCCGCACCCTCTGCCTTGTCTGCTTTAGAAAGTCATCCTGAGGACCAGGTCTCCTGAAGTCTGAGAAGGCAGAATGTTTTTTTTTTAAATGGTTTTTTTTTAGCATACAGAATGCTAAATACAGGAGAAGCTGAAGGGGTAAATGCTTATACCGGACCGAGGAAGCTGAGATGGGAAGGCAGCCAGTGTAGCCTCCAAGACAGCAGTAGCCCTTAGACTTCTATACCGCTTCAGGGTGCTTTCCAGCCCCCAACAATCTGGGTCCTTATTTACTGACCCTAGAGCCAACGTTGAGCCGGTCGGGATCGAACCGCTGAACTAATGGCAGTCAGCGGTCAGCAGAAGTAGCCTGCAGTACTGCATTCTAACCACTGTGCCGCCACCACGGCTCTTAAGGATGTCTCGACTTCCTTCAGAAAACGCGGTCTATCACGGGGCTCCCCAACCTTGGCCACTTGAAGCCCGGAGGCGTTGGAAGTTCTCCAGGCTTCAAGGGGCCAAGGTTGGAGACCGCTGGTCTAGAAGACGAAAAAGGACAGGGAGTCCTTCACTTATAACCCATTGATTAGCGGCTGTTTGAAGTTACGGCAACCCTGGGAGAGCAGTCCTCACACGTACGATCCACGTAGCACACCCCCCCACAGGCTCCCATGATCAAAATTGGGACACTTGGCAACCAGCACGTATTTACAGTGGGGGGGGGGGAGGGGCGGCTTCGTCACACGGTCCCCATTTGCGACTTCCCCAGCTGGGCTTCTGTCAAGCAAAGTCAATGGGGGAAGCCGGATTCACTTAACGACCGCTGGTCTCATTGGGTGACCGCAGGGATTCACTCGCCTAAAAGCCGTGAAATTGGGCACAACTCCCTCCCTCGCTTGGCAGTGAAAGTTCTGCTCCCAGTTCTGGTGGGGCGAGTCTGGGACTTCCTCTGTATTGTCGTCGTCCCCCCCACTCCCACCCCCCCCCAAAAAATATATCTGAGAATCTTATGAATCTAAACTGGGATTCTTACAACCTGGATTGCAAAACTCTGCTAATCTAACCTTCCTTCTTTTTCCTTCAGGTACATTTCGGTTAAAATACGCTCCCCCGGCTGAGAGTTTAGAGTCCACGGACTGAGCTTAACTTCAGATGCAATATTTTGTGATGGCAAAATGGCCATGAAATAACTAGGGAACTTCAGATTGGGAGTCTATCTGTTGAGCTTATTAATGTTATTTTTTTAATCCAAAGGTGCTCTACTTCAACCCTAGGAAGGAACTGAAACACTAGGAAGGGGGGGCAGGGGGGCTTCCAAGCCCATTTTTCCCCTCCCCCTGAATTGCCAAAACAGATTTTAACGTTGGATCTCCCCGAAGAGAGGCGAGACTGGCCAACTGTCTTTTCTTGTTGTATAGAAACTGCTGCACTTTTGCCGAAGAATGTTGCCATAATTTCACCTTCCATGCTGGAAAATTAAAACTCCTGGGCAGCTACATTAGAATCTGGAGTTGGAGTGAGAGCCAAAGGCCGGTGGTGCAGCTGCTGCCATTCACCTGCCAGACTCTTAACCTCGGAAGCTAGTTAAAACATATCTCCTTCCCCCCCGCCCCTTCCTCTCAAAATAAATCAGGCACTACACTCTGGGATTTTAAAGGGTTGCACTACGGAAGAATGTATAATTCTGTTCTGACTATCTGCACTTCTAGCAAACTGAGGTCAGGGGAAGAGATGTTGGGAACAGGCACCAGCAGGCTACACGGTCGTCTAATAAAGGAAAAAAACTTAACCCTCTTTTTCTTCCCAAAGAACAGAGGTGAATATGCTTCGTTCTGGAAACAGTTACACCATGTTGGTCAGCGATTCCTCTTAATGTAGGACTAACTTACCAGTGGTGGGTTAAACTTAAGTCTCCAAGGGTCTAGTGCCAGAGACTCCATGGTATTTTTTTTTTAATTACAATTTAAGGAAGTGTTAACAATTCAGCGGTTTCTGCCATAGGAAATGGTGTTCTGCATCTGTAATAAATTTTAAAATTCAGACTCTTCCAGGAATTTGTTGGGTTTAGAAGGCACAGCGTCAAATACAAATTACAGTAGCATACCGTTTCATTACTTAGGAAAGTTTTATAGTTTTGACTCTTTCATTCAATGTGGGCTATAAAAAAATTCAGCTTTGGTAGCTAAGTAACAGCCAGTAGTGCTTATCCAAAGGGGTTCAAACAATGTGGATTTTTACCTGTCAGAAGCAACGTTTTTTTAGAATTCATTCTCCCTGCTGCGCTCCTTGCTTCATCATCTGGGCTGCCTCAACTTTGAGTCATGTAGGACAGGATTGGCTGGGTCTCCACATTTTTTAATGTGCTGCTTTGTAGTAGAAAAGAGGCTCCGCTCTGAACAGCAGGAGTGGCCATGTTAAAAACCGCACTCTGCTTTCTGCAAAGCGGTGGTGAATTCCACTCCTGGGCTGGTCTATTGTCTTGGACGCTGGTTGATATTCCAACAGGCCTGCATCTGATATCCGTTATTTCTATGCAATGGAGTATTATTCAGTTTCCATCTCCTCACTTCGGCTTCACCAAAACAGGGTTAGATGGGTGTGAGACAAGACTTGCGTTAGCTGAACTTTATTCACTCCGATAATAACAGAGCTGCTGTTAAAATCAGTGTAACGTGTGCAATTCATTTTGTAGTGCCCTGAATGATTGAGGCTGCTGCTATACATGGTCCCCTGTTAGGAAAATTTAAAAAAAAACTGTATTCAAAGTGGATGGGAACTCAGCAATTTATGTGGCCTTAATGATCTTGCCATGAGTAGAAGCAACCTGTTTTGGTTATTACATCTTTCAGTATGTTTACTCTTAAAGCTGAAAATACTTCTAGTAGTTTGAAATACATGCTAAGAGCCAAATGTCCATTTAAAAAATGGAATCCTACCATCCCACAAGGTTAGCAGAATAAAAACCTTATTGGTTTACTTAAATGGGAAGCCTCTAGAAACTTGTGTTACATCTGTGCAGTTTTAAAAATGTGATTTTCTTTCCCATGGAAAAAGAGAACCGCTTTGATAATTGCAGAGAAAATGCAGTGGAATCCCCAGAAGAAAACCTGACCTGACTTTTGTTGGTTTCCCTCTGAAAGTATTAGGTTTGTCTTGTAGTTCTCCATTCATATTCTCCACTCTTCAGAAGGGGTTGGCAGTTTTTCATATAGGAATAGATGCCCACAGCAGGCCCCTCACAGGCAAGAACAATTAAAACACTTTCTTAGAACATACTGACTGCGTGCCTCCGTTTTGGTTGCAACTTTGCACTGAAGGACTTGAAGGAATGTGACTCAATTCATGTTAACAAAAACAGCACATCATGCAGGATTGCCCCAAATCCTGGCCTGACTATTTTCATGACTGTACTGTAGGATACCTGCCAGGTATGGGGTTTAATTAACGAGAACCTAATGGAGCACTACAAGACTCTGAGCTAGCCTCCGATTAAGAGAGCAGCTTTCTAATTTCTGTTGAAAATGATGCCTTCCATATCGTCCTGAAATCAACCTAGAGGAAAGGCTTTAGCAGAGGCACTTCATTTTAAGGCCAACATGACCCTAAAATGATCAGATTCCTCATGCTAGCTGAAGGTGCTTTTGTTACAGACAAGTAGACATATCTGCACCCTCTTATTAATGGGCTCCACCTGGAAGCAGGAATTAAAGAAGCCAGCAATTCAGAAAGCTACCACGATTCGCACCGCTCTCCGTAAACTGAATTCTAACTGTTAATAGGAAACATTTATGTCCCCAAATGGCAGGTTAACATGTTTTCCAGTTATAACTTTCCGTTTGGAGCAAAAGGGACGCCTTTTGCCCGTTTCGAGCCATTTCTTTTAACTCCTAGTATTACAAAATGTGCACGAAACTTTATATAAATATCAAAAAGTTTTGTAAATATTTAATATTTACCTAATATGATTTTCAACTGTAAATGTCAAGTATTCTGGTATTGGGATTTTTATGTTTTATTATACTTTGTTAAAGGTAAAATTGTACATTTTTAGAATGTTTTTATCCGAGTAAATTTAATGTACTGAAAAATAAATAAAAGACCGCAGTGTCTTTCCAGTTATCCTCATTGATGTGGGTTTTTCCCCGCCCCCTCCCGTTGAGGCTAAAGATGATAGCACTTGGCCACAGACTGGCAGAGGGCATCTTCAGAAGTGGGAATTGTAAGCAAACCTCGCTGGACTTGGGAGTTGCTTTCTGCAGGAGAAGGCAAGGCCATGCTGCAGCCTGAGCTGTGCCGTAACCCAGCGGGTGCCCCCAACCCTTTGGGCACCAGAGAAATATGCCAGGATGTATTTTTTCACAGACTGGGAGAGGGGGAAGAGGATGAGGAGGGCTTAACCTAGATCCCACGCATGCAGCTTTGCTCGCTGGCTCCTCATCTCCAGTTCTCTGGCAATGTTCCTAACAGGCCACGGCCAGGAATTGGGGGCTCTGCCGTAATCCACTCAACAGGCCTGTCCTTCCTTACACGGCCTTGGGAGCCCAATTTTTTCTTGCTGCATTGAAGTCGTGGCTCAGGAATCCCACCCAGCAGCAACGGTGACCCGGGATTCGAGCAGTCCTGGTTCCAAGCAACCGGGCCAGAGGCAGCTGCGCCAATTTCCCAGTGCTGTGTTATATAACAACTGGGTTTCAAGGTTCAAAAAGTCCACAACCACATCCATTCAACTGCCACCCACAACATAACAGAACAGGGCCAGGTTTTGGATGGGCTTCTTTAAAACAACCTTGCAACCAGGGTAAATCCCACTGCAGGCATCTAACATTTAACATGTAGGTAGGATGCCATATAACACCATCCTACCTGCACATCCATAAAACACAGTAAATTTACATTTCTGAAGAATCCAAAGGGCCACCTGAAATATTTCTGCATAGGACACGACGACAAAAGAAAATTCAGTCAATGTGCAGCAGGTACAAAGTTGTAGCAATCGAATGCACACACACACACGCTTGGTCATCTTAAGATACAGTCTAGACTTTAATAAAGTGAAATTTGGTTCAGTGTGAAAATTAAAATGGAAGGAAACCAAGGTTTTCAGTTATGGATGCAACGCAGATTCAATCTTGGTTCCACCTGTCCCAGTTCAAGAACTGGGCGGGTAAAAAGAGGAAGATACATAGGCGTGCACAAAAATACACAATTGTAATGGCTAAAAAGCCTTGCCTGCCCCTGATGGCTTGCGTCTGTTACCAGCATTTGAAGGATAAAAGGGCCTCTCTTCAGAGGACGAGATGGGCGGATTCGATTAAAAAAAGAAAAAAAAAAGATGCAGGACAGAATACAAATGTATTAAGAGTAACATTCTTAACTGTTAAGTACATAACCTAATTTTTAAAATACACACTTCCTAAACTAAAGCTATGCTTGGTATATAGTTAGCAGTCTGGTGTTTTGCTGATATTGTCTAAAGTAGCAATACCAGAGAATTAACCCTTCTCTATATTCTCCCCCAAAACGTGCACTGATTTTCCAAACACAAGAAGCCGAAAGAGGCAGACTTTCCTACCTTTGAGGAAAAGCGGTTTTTAGGAGCTAAAATATAAATTAACAGGATATATCACACAGATGTATTTCAGTTGGCTACTTTAACATTTAGCCCAGTTCCTATGATTTGAGTAACGCCAACATTTATTATTATTATTATTATTATTATTATTATTATTGTCAACATGCATGCTATGGTCTTGCTCCGATTCCAGAGGCTTTTAAAAAGCAAGTAGGCCCGTGCAAACGTATAGCAAGTCTACAAAGCTGGGCTGCTTGTCCGTACTGGCACTCATCTGTTAAATATTTACAAAGGAAAGGACGTTTGAGAACATCCCCGCAAAGCACAACTACTCTGAGCACATCAGTGGCGCGACATCCCTTTCTTTTTCCTGGGCCGGGGAGGGGCAGGGGAGGGGAGGGTAAAAACTAGGCTAGGCTACAAGGCCAAGGGGGGGCAAAGTGTTTACATGGAGGATTTCATGCCAAACGTTTCCTGAGAGGCGTACACCATGTACAAGAATCCGTCTTCGTCCTTTTCGCTTTCGTACACCTCCGAGATGGACGTGGAGACGCTCACCATGCTGTGTCCGTTCACCAGTAAGAAGAAAGCTTGATTGGAATTCAGCTGCAGCCGCCGTCTGGGAGGGAAAAGGAAGCCGTTCAGGAAAGGGGTGCCACCCACACCAGCGCCCCGCTCGGCCTGGCCTCGGGAACCCCCAAATGGATCCTCCTCTTTATTGCATCCAGAAATGATCCCTCAACTAAGCTGCTCTTCCTGAGCATGTCTCAGCCTCCCCACTCTTGAGCAGACCTCCAGGGACTGGATACCTGCCCCCGCCAGGACAAATCCAGACAGGCTCACAAAGGCCATTCAGAGATGCTGAATGAGCTGAGAAAATGGAATCCTTCCCCCTCCATCGATGCCCTGCATGGACCCTTTTCCAGGTTCCGCCTCGTTTCCCCAGGTTGGAATAGATCCCCCCCTTCTCCATCCCAACCAGCAGTGGTCCATGGAGGGGTTGTTTAGTTCCTGGTTGTCCCAAAGGGTGCTTTTCCAACAGGCGACTGGACTCTCTTGGTTTTTCCCTTTGAAAACGTTTCACTTCTCATCCAAGAAGCTTCTTCAGTTCTGGTCAGGAATAGGAGGATTTATATTCTTCGCAGTTGTCTGCTTTGAAGGTCGGTGTTAGCTCTCTGGGATTTGTTGAGGTCACTTGGGGGGCTTATCTGTCTCCTCAGAGTCACCTAAATCAGAGTGTAAATAGGTGTGGAACAGTTCTTCAGTTAGAACTGAAGAAGCTTCTTGGATGAGAAGCGAAATGTTTTCAAGGAAAAGCAAAGCAAGGAAGCCCTGTTGCCTTTTGGGGGAAAAGCACCTTTGGGACAACAGAGGTTTTCAGGCAGCAAAGCCCAAGAGCCCCTGTCCCTCTGCACTTTCACCCCTGAGCAAGCGGCGGACAGGCCGTGTTTAAGATCTGGGTTTTGCCACAAGCCAGCTGAGCCTTGTGGAATCCTAGCTAAGTTATCCACTACAGTAGCTTGTCTCGGCTTGGCACCCTCCCAATATTGCAGAACAACATTTCTGAAGAGTTCTTAGCCGAGTCCCAATAAAATCGGGTGCCCCCAAAGTAAGGAAGCCTTTTGTTTCTTAGCTATCACAAAAAGTGAATCTGCAGGCAAATACCTGATTATCTTGATAAGCTCACTCATATTGACGTGATCTGGGACCAGAAACTTTGTTTTGTCCAGAACGGGAAGCTGCTTCTCTCCTTTATATCTTTCGATAATTACCTGGAAAAGAGGCCAAGAGTAGAAGCAAATGTTGGAATGCAATAGTCGTGCAACTTTAAACTCATGTTTTATGGCTGGGTTGGCACAAAATGGAACTATGTTTTTCCAATCCGTGCCAATTGGTATTACAGGCACAGGGTTCACATTGTTACTGCAATTCCTACTTGGCAGTATTTAAAACCACCTGGAACAACACAAAGGGTGTATTGATATTCGTGGATTTACATAGTTGCCTTTATTTTAATGAAAACTCTGCTCTGCATTATCTCTGCTCTTTGAGGCCACTGAGGAAATTATGCCATTTGTAAATATGGCTCCAGAAGAAAGCTTTTCAACTTGAAAAGTAACTGCATTTGTTTTCTATAGGAACTGATCAGCCAAGCACCGCATCCAAATGTTCATAGTACAATCCTATGCACGCCCACGCAATATAAATTATACATTTGAATGGGATTGGCTCTCAGATAGTCTATGCAGGCAGATCAGTTCAAAAGAGTTCTATAGTTTGCATTTTTAAACAAATTTTTACATGCTCTGAAAAAATCAATCTGAATGCTATTACAGAACAATGCTTGTTCCTTATAGCCCGATATAACCTGGTTCTTTGTTAAGCAGAAGAGGGGATATCTTGACAACTTAAGTTTTTGTCATTGACAAACAGAAAAGTGCCATTGAAAGAGATTATATAAGCCTATTTAAAGCAGTATTGCTGCCATTACTTAAGATAGGCCAGTGTTGATTTGACTAAAGAGATCATATGACAGCTATAAAAATGGAACTGGATGTAACTGCTTGTTCCATTGTTAGTTCTTTTTGGAAACAAAAGGAAACAAAAAGGATTACTTGGGCTTCAAACCTAAAAATCAATGTTCTGTAAAGTAACCGTTTTCAGAGTTTCTATACAAAGGACTGTGTGTTTAGAAAGGAAACAGAATTAGATAATTTTCTGCTACATTTGGCACTGGAAAACAAAAGGAAAAATTTAAATAGGCTGGTTTTAATTTTGGCTGCCAGCTGATACCTATCCTGAGTTTTACCAGGCCTTGATTTTTCTTTTCTTCTACGAATTCTCATCTAGTTATTAATTTTTTTCCATCCTGTTTGATGTTGCAAACTGCCCTGGATCCTTGCAGATAAGTACTGTATTATAACATATATGAACAAATAAATTGATTGCATAAGTTAACAAAGAAAATGAAAAAAATGCACTGTGATTCTCAATTATTTACCGTTTTATCCGATAGAAATTACTCCCTCATCCAACTCCAGACCCTTTTCGGTTAGCAGGCTGTTCCCAAAGACAGCACATTCTGCTAGGTTACTTTTATGATGGAGAGGTAAGTAAATTTTAAAAATTGCCAAGGCCCATCTCAGCAGCTGCATCCAAATGGCCTTTCAGGAGTCTCTTCCATGCAGTTGACCTGAATTCCTTCCTTGAAATTGCAAACTGATCAGGGGCAAAAGGCTCTCCAGACTGGTCTACACGGAAGACCCCCTTAACTGGGGTGGGTTGGGGGGGAGGGGTAACATGTTGTGCAAGCAGCCTAATCAGCCACTGATCTGTACAATCCAAAGGGCAGGAACAGGGTGGGGGTAAGCCCCCAGGCTGGACTACAATAGGGATGATGCCAGTCAGACTATTCTGGATTTTGCTTCTTGCTCTGATAGGGGCAGAGAACATGACTGGAAAATGACCGTTTAATATTATCTTTTGCCGTGAGTTTAATATTATCTTTTGCAGTCAGCAGGAGAACTTAAAAAGAGTGGCCACTTCCTGATTCCCCAAACTGCACATTGCCTGCAATGGGATTTACCCAAGAATTGCACAAACATCTGAGCCAGCATATCAGGCAAGCACAGTCACACCCTCTCTGGGCCTGCTATTGGACCAAGGGCATTCTGTCTTGGCAAGGAGGATGGAAACCCCCTCTTCACTTTCCTCTCTTTCAACGTTGCCATTTTAACATGGTTGACTGTGGCCCTTCCATTTAAATGTTCTTAACAAAACCCGTCAGGGGCTCTTTAAAGCAACTGCATCTTTCCCTGGAACAGGCTCGGGAAAAGATGGGTGCAAGTTCCAGAAGGCCTCTGGGAGGTGGCCCACCTCTATGCTAGGAGCACAGAAATGTGGGCTGGTTTAACCCAGAAAGAGGCAACCAATTCAGATAATATCCTTAACTCCAATGCTCCCACCACGCCCAAGGTCTGCGCAAGCCCCTCTTGGGACGGGCACCAAAAGGCTGAAGTCAACAAAAGCAGATGGAGTTCCAAGGTCTTTGAGAAATTCTTGTGGGCCGAACTATTCTTGAGCCCCAGATTCAGTGTCCAAGAACACCGGCAGTTTTTAAGAAGAGATTGGACAAGCCAGTGGTACAGGTCTTTCTGTCTGGGAAGGGGGTTGGACTTCACGGTCCCTTCCAGCTCTGTTGTTCTGTTATTGCCTCTGCCTGACCTGCCCAGCTCTTATCACTATTTCATTATTTCCCACACAAGCTCTCCAAGTTTTGGAAGTCTTCTGTATTTCCTTCCCAACTACTGTAGATGTACAATAGGGAACAGATCTTTGGGAATATTATTATTAAAGGCTACCGGTTTGCAGCATAGGCATCATTTCTTTCCCAGACACTTCAACATCTAATATATGTATTCATTTGGATGGATTTCTTATTATTTTATACCTAATGCTTCTGCTGCTGATTTGCAAAGGTTGCACAGAAGTATACTTGTGGTCCCTTTGTGGCATGCAATCTTGAGTTTTCACTCAAGGTCCACAGAAATATGATCAAGAACGTCTTAATGAATTAGCAAAAAGGAGGTTCAAACTGCATTGGAGAAAGACAGGAACAAATGATTCTTTTGCTCTGGGTCTTCCTCTCTCAAAATAAATAGGAAGCTCATGAATCCAGTTCTCACTGTTATTTCAGTCTATTTCCTTTCTCCAGTCAGTTACACATTAAAAGAAAAGCCAGCTGCAATCAGAAATTGAGCTCTGGAGCAAAACAAATGGTATCATCCTTTAAAATAAACAATACAGGGCAAAGTATCTTTCACTAATTATGACTACATCAACTGAAATTGTTAACCCCTTAGCCCTCAAATACTACTGGTCCTATTAACCAGATCTCACCATTAGACAGACCACTCTGAGGCCAACTCACCGGTATCTTTGTTGGATGCTGTTCGCGAATAAGTCTGACATCTTCTACTCTTTGTTCTAAAAGGGAAAAAGTAAAGTCATTGCCAAGTTCCATCCCTCAAAAAGAAACTAATGAAGCTTGCTTAAAATCAACTATACACTTGAACAAAGTATAGTACGAACCTCTTCAAAAAAATACAAAAGGTAACCAATGGTTATTTGTACTGCTACGCCCCAGAGGTTCTACGTAAAGTTTTCCTCCCTCCCCCTTGATATGGGCCTATTTGCATTGCTCACTTCCTAAAGGAAAACAAATAGCAAATGTGACCTTTACTTTCATTTTCAGCAGCACAAAAACAAAACAAAGTGCCAGTTCTTCTTCCGCCTTGCCAGAGAAGCAGGAAAACCAGTTTAGACAGAACAAAAACAGAATCAACCACTCAAAACACAATCTTCGTATGCAAAAGAGAGAAAGAAAGAGAAAGGAAGAAAAAGAAAGAAAAAAAGAAAATTACATTTAAGCCTAGATTATGCCGTTTAACAGCTGAACTTAAAACTCCAGTGGAAACAAACCAATTCACAAGTCTTGCAAGAGCAGATTATTTCCCCCCCCTCCCAATCGTTAAACCCATTTTTCATTTTTGGGGAGGAAGGAAACTCTCAATATTTTCTTCCCCTTTTCTGCTTCTGGTCTGTCAGAAGTCACCTGCCACTGAGTATTGCTGTCACCCAGGCAATTAGTGAAATAATCACCTGTGATTCAACCTTTCCACCACCACAACTAACCAGGTGGTTCAGAGGTGCCCATCAGGTCTTCTTACTGGGCACTTCAAGAAAGGATTCGCATTTGTGGCATGAACACTTGGCCTTGCCCAGGAATCAGAGGGTTCCCTCCAGGACTATTCTCAGACACACACACATACACACTCCAATTGCAGAAGAAGCGGAGAGCAAATAAAGGTCCCAGCAGCCCCTGCCACCCACCCCCTAATCCACATGACCCCACTCATCCTCCTAACCTTGACCAGCACTCGCAACCCGGTGCCCTCCAGGCTCCCAGGGAAGGTGTGCCAGCCAGCCCCGGGCACCAGACCTGTTTACGCCTGGATGCCAAGAAACCTCACAAGCAGGCCGTGCACTGACATGTCCCCCAGCTCCAGGCTTGGTTTAATTGTTGGGGGGGGGTGGTGTTCCCCCATGGAGAGGCATCCCTGGGCACACAGGGTGGGGGTGGGGCAGGCCATTGGGAGGGCTTTTAGCCACCTGCCCCACACCAAGGGGGTTGGGGGGGGTCGGTCTTGGGAGGGGGCTGGAGTCTTCATATGCGGCGGGGGGGGGGGGGGGGAGGGGTGTGGGTGTGAGAAGAGGCC